GCAGCACAATTATTATGGGTTTTTCTTTGGGGTTTAATGGCATTAGGTTTTGAACATGCTCTAAATGGATCAGATAATCGATCATCAAGTGGTGTTTTAGGTGGTTTATTTGCAATTTTATTATTGACATCTTTATTTTGGGGAGCATTAACATTTCGAAATATAACACATTTTGTTACTGCATGTGTCGTTGGTCAATGGTGGTTTACTTCAGATGCTCATAGACAATACGCTGTTGAAACAAGTGTTCAACGTGCATTAACAACAAATTTCGGAACAATTTCATTTGGTTCATTAATACTTGCATTTATAAAAGCTTTACGTGTTGTTGCTCAAGTCAATGAAAGAAATGCTCGTCAAAATGGAAATATTGTTTTATTACTTTTTAGTTGTATATTTGTATGTATACTTCGAATATTTGAAGGATTCGTAAGATATCTTAATGAATGGGCATTTGTATATGCTGCATTGACAGGTCAATCATTTCGTGATGCTAGTCGAAGTTTTCTTGATTTATTTCAACAACGTGGTTGGACAATGATTATAAATGATGATCTTGCAGGACATGCTTTAACTATTGTTACACTTGCTATTGGATTTATTTCAGCAGCACTTGGTGGTATAACTGTTTATGCTGCAATGCCACATTCACAATCGCGAGTAGCCATTGCTGGAATGGCCGCGTTTTTTACATTTAAAATTGGTCTTGCTATGGGTACAGTAATGACATCAATTCTAAGTTCTGGTGTACGAACAGCATTTGTCTGTTTTGCTATTAATCCAGCTGCACTTGGTGCAACTCATCCTGAACATTTACAAAATTTACTTCTTGCTTGGTATAAATTTCATCCACAAGAATTTGCTGCTAGTGGTTTTGCTATGCATTTACCAAAACCTGCTGCATCTGCTAGTGTTATTTATACTAATGTTTGAATTAATCAAAACCGATAGCAGTAGTTTTTGTTTTCATCTTAACTGTCAATTTAACTTCATTTCTTTCGATAAAAATTTAACTGTAATCAAACATGATAAAAATAAATATGATAATGTTTTTTTTCTCATCATTCATTGATAAAAAATAATACATATGTCATCTCATATTTGTCTTATTATTTGAAAAAAAAAAGTTGTTACAAACATAGACAGAAAAGAAGAAGATTGAAACGATACACACATTTGAAAAGGAAAAAAGAGAGAGAAAGAATATAATTGACACCGTGACATACAAAAGACAAAAAAAAATCAAATTATGGATTATAATAATACCGATGATGGATTTGGAAAATAAACAAACATTTAATAGGAAAAAGACACAGAGAGACATACATACATACAGATAAAATCAAATAATAAACGAAGACTATGTTCAAAAGTCAAAAAGAAAAAAGTGCACGTTCATATTTTGTGTTTTTTGAAACGAGCAAAACTACAATGATGATACTGTTCTATGACGAAGGTATACACGCACACGTACATAAAAATTCGATAGATATAATTCGACTTCACAATATATGATAGAACAAAGCACAATTAATCTAAGCACTGCTCAATGAGGTGACTATAGAAGAAGAAGAAGAAAAACAGACAGACAAATATTATTTTGTACAAGAAAAATTGATACGGACATGATCATCATCATAATAAAAATCGGACTGTTTGCTATGAATAACAAAAGTTAAAGAGAGAAAAGAAAAGAAGAGCAGTATATAGTCGATTTCTTTTTAAAAAGAAATAAAGTTTGACAATAAAATCCCTGAGGAATAAAAAACAAACAAACAAACATTTTGAGGCAATAAAAGAAAAAATGAAATGCGCATAAACATTTAATGAATTTCTAGATCAAAAACGAAAAAAACAAAGATATAAAGAATAATAACAAGAAGAAGAAAAAATTGAATAATCATGGCAAGTCAATTCGTTCATTCGAAATGATGCGATTAATATTATTTATAAACTTTTCTTTTTCAGTCAAATTTAGAAAAACAAAAAAACGAAAAGTAAAAATAGAGTATTATACCTGAAAAATTTTCGTATAGGTATACGTGTTATTGGTTGTTTTTTATTATCACTATGATTTTGGATCACTTTTTTTTCTTCTTATTAGGATAAAAGAGATTCAATAGGCAAAAAGAAAAAACAAAAGCCAAAAACAAATATGTTATAAGAGAGGTCTCTGCGAGGATAGTCCTGTATGTACAGAAAAATAGGGATTGTTAAGGAAAAAAACTGCTAAGCAGATGAATTTTTATATTTTATGTAGTTTTTTTTCTGTCTTCTATAAAGACATTCTGAGCAAACTTATAACATAACGATGATGATTCGTTTGTTTAGTTTTTTACGTTTATAACACCACAGAAACAAATAAAAAGAAGTAAAAGATATATAGTTGCACTGTGAGCAATAGATAAGAAAGAAGTCCCTGAAGAAAGATTGAGGCGAAATAAACAAAATGAAAACGACCTGTTGGTAATTAGTTGATGATCATCATTAAAATGAACAACCAGAAGATATGAGAGCAGCAGGTGTACTTGATGGTCGACTAATGGAATTTGTATTTGAATGATGATTAACATCAGTTTCATCAGGTGATGATGATGTTGATGTTGGTGGTGATAAGGATGAAATATCATTTGGATTGAGCGTTACAGTTACTGGATTATGACTATTTGATCTTACACCATTTCTATGACATGGTGTAATTAATGATGATTGATGTTCATCTTCATCATCTTCAATAATACCACCTTCTTCATCTGTTGTATAATCCATTGATTCAACTAATGTTTTAGTACTTGTTGAATGTTGTTGTTCTTGTTCTTTTTGATGTTGTTGTAAAATTCTTCGAAGTATTGTACGTGCATTTAATAAACTTTTTGCATCGGATGAAGAATTTGTTGATGATAATGTACATTTATTTGTTAAAAAATTTGATAATTGATTATTATTATTATTATTATTATTTGAATTATGTGATTGTGTTTGTTGATGTTGTTGAAAAGCAATAGCCTTTAATACATTTAATGGTACGCCCATTGTACGAAGTTCTTCATAACTCTTTTCATTTAATCCAATAAATTGTTGTTGTTGTTTAAATTTATTTTTAATATCTTCATGATCATCATCATCTTCATCTAAATTAACTGTTTCAGTATTAGGTGTTAATTCAATTAATGTTCGATCATCATCATCATCATCATCACTATGTACTTCCGAGACAACCAATGGTATGGATACATCCATTGATATATGATGTTCATTTTCATCATCATCACCTTCTTCCGTTTTCGATTTTCTATGTTCATCTGGATTATTATTATTAACATCTTTTAAACGTTCTTCATCAAGCATTTGATAAAATTTTGAACGTTTTTTAGGTGGCATTTTACGTATACGTTCCATAAGATCATCAACATAACCACCAACTGTATTTAATGTTAGTTGTTGACGTTCATCAATTTCAATATCATTATCATTTGAATTAATATTTGTTAAACGTTTTGTTGAAAATTTTGTACCATTACTAGTTTTATTATTATTATTATAGCATGAAGAAGATGATATTTCTGATGCTATGGATGAACCTGATCCAGTACGAATCGATGATGGTAATGGTGGTGATAAACGACTATGTGCTAAACCTGATTCATAACCACTTGATGCATTTGAAGTTGACTAGAGAAAAAGAATTTAAAATAAATAAATCTTTTTATTAGAATTATTTTTTTATTAAATACCGAATCTTTTCTTGGTGGAACATATTCATCACTTTCTTCATCACTTGGTCCACCATGACTTGTTGTTGAAGAAAATCCACTTGAACGTCTTCTATAATTATGATAAGCAGCTGTAACCATATCAATTTGTTGTTGTTGAGTTAATGTTGCTGAATTGTTTTGATTAATTCTTTGTCTTATAAGACATGTGGATGGTAATGAACCGGTTGTTGCATTCGGATATGAAGCACGCATTAATTTATAACGTGGATCATTTCTATAATTATGTTGTTCATCATGAGAATTATTTCCTGGTGGTGGTGGAGGTGGTGCTGCTACTGTTGTCGGTGGTGTTGATAATGCTGATGATGTTGATGATAAAAGTTTAACTGTTTCAGGATTAAGATATGTTGACATTTTATTTTGATTTCCACCTGATGATGTATTCGAACGATTAATATAATTTTGTAACTCATTTATAGCATTTGCTGATGGTTGTTGCTGATGATGATGATATTGTTGTTGAGCATGAGCTGCTGCTTGTACAGCAGCATGCCAAAGTTTTGTTTGAGCTAATAATTTATTTTGAGCAGCAACTGCAGCGACAGTAGAATAATTTGGTGGTGAACTAACTCGTCGTTGTAATGATGGTGTTAAATTATTTATATCTGAATTAACACGTGTTGATGACGATGGAGGTGGTGGTGGTAAATAGGGTGAACGTTGTTGATTAACCATCATTTTATTTGGTACAGATGGATGAGGATGACGATTATTATATTGTGATTGTTGCTGTTGTTGTCGATAGGAAGATAATAACCATTCAGCATGTTGTTGTTGCTGCTGTTGTTGTTGCTGTTGTTGATGTTGTTGTTGCTGCTGCTGTTGTTGCTGCTGCTGTTGCTGTTGTTGTTGTTTATATCGTTCTGCTCCAAGTGCAACTTTTTTTGGAATAGGAAGTCCTGTATCATGAGAAAATGATGTTGACGATTGTGTTGGTCGATGTGAAATTGGTGATGCTCGTTGAGTTGATGTTGATGATGATAATGTTTGTTGTTTATGTTTATTGAGCATAGCGGCCGCTTGAGAATTTAAAAAAGCACGGTATGCGGCTGGATCAGTAACACCAGCTGACATCATTGCTGCAGCTACAGACAGTTGATTAAGTGTTGACGAGTTATTACCTTGGTTGTGTTCATTAAGACGAGCTGCCTTTGGTAAAGATGTTGCTGTTGTTGCTGACTGTCGATGATAATTATTTGACATATTAACAAGTGGTTGTGATGATGTTGATGTAGGAGAATTTTGATCTTGAGATAAAGATAATGTTCCTGATGATGATACTGTTGAATTGACATTTGAAACAGCCGCTACTGCTGCTGCTGCTTGTGAAGCAAGAGCCGCTGCAGCAGCTGCTCGTTTTCGTTTAAGACTATATTTTTTATATGGTGAATTATTTTTAAAAGATGGATTTATTGTCCAGACATATTTAACAGGACCTTTCGATATTGATGATATAATAGGTACCCGAATAAATTGATTATGTAAAGATAAATTATGTCGAATAGAATTCTATATTTAGAATAAAAAAAAACAACGATTCATTAATAGGTCTTATTATATTAAGACATGATTTTATACTAAAGGGCAAGTAGAAATTTCTTTTCAAAAATCTTCCCTGACATATATATATACTAGGCGTTTTTTAATATCGGAAAATAATATAGTCTATCTTTTAATGAGTTAATTTAGTAGAAAAGAAAAATGTGTCTTCCAGACTTTATTTTTAATATTTTCTAAAAAAAATAATGATATATTAAATAAATGATCTATATCTCTCTTTCTTTTTTTTTATTATATCAAAATGAAACAATATGAAAGACATCATATCATAAAATTTTTATAATCTTTAAATATTGATTTAGGAAGTGTGAGCAATTCATAATTTATATGATGAAAAAAAAAAAGATTTTATTCAACTAGAAAGAAAAGTATTACGAAGTCAGATGATGTAACTTTTTTTTTTGATAAAAATCTATAGATTATGTCAGTATTCATTTACCTTCCAACCCCAACTTGTTTTTGCATCAATTTTATCTTTAAAATAAGGTACAAATTTAATAATCCATTCATATACTTCATTTAATGTTAAACGTTTCCATGGACTACTATCAATAGCACGTGTAATCAATTGAGCATAAGATAGATTACCCCATGGATTACGATATGTTTTATTGATACCAATACCAAGTTCTTGTATAACTGATTTAGCTAAACGTTTATCATATTCAACAAGTATATCACGTTTTTCTTTTCGATGGCGTGGCCATGTATTAAAACGTAAACGATCACGATGAACATTATTACTGGTTCCAACTGAATCAAGAAATGAACTACTATGTGATAAACGTCGATGTGTATGACGAAGCGATGTTGTTGTTGTTGATGATGATGATGTTGTTGGTTGTGGTCCTTGAAGATGATTATTCAATGAAATTGATGATGTTGGTGAAGGTGAGGGTGATCGAGTTCGATGATACATTGTATCTGATGGCGAATCAACAATTAATGATGAATAATCGCCGGTTGTAGACGGAATAAAATGGTGATGAGAGACATCATCATCGTTGTCATCATCAACAACGAGTGAAATGTCAATGGGATGACGAGAACGATGCATGGTCGGCACTACTTACTATCTGACCATTTGGCCGTCAATGACTACTAACTTACAAAGTATCTGGAAAGAAAAATCAAATAAAAAAAAAGAATGAATTATAAAGAAGAGAGGAAGAAGAAGAAGAAGATAATAAAGAATTCATCATTTTCTCATAGGAACCATCTGTTGATTATATACATAAATGTATCAATATGTGTATTGCTTAAAAAATATACTCGTTCTTTATTATGTAATAAACAATTTTGAAAGAGAGTTCAACCTCTGTGGGTATCTTAAAATGAATATAGTAAAAATGTCAACCATAACTGTACTGCTGGCATAGAAGAGAAAAAGAAGAAACGAGGAAAAAAAAGCTGACCCTTTTACCTTCTCCCGCCCTCTTACGCGCGCTCGGTTTTTTCTCCTTTTTTTTCCTCTCATATCACATACATGGAAACGACGAGAGAAGCAAAAACACTACTACTATATAGAACATCGACCGATGATGCATTCTTCGAACTAGTGTGCTCTTCTGTTTTTTTTTGTTATGTGCTCAAGCGTACGTCACTATACACTCTGTTCTCGTATTTTTTTTGCGTGCGTCGCTTATACAGCGCGGCCAAAACAAAGGAAAGCGCGACTCCTTCTCTCTCTCTCCCTCTCCCTTATTCTTACATGTATACGCAATAAAAGTCATCTCGATTTTTTTTTAGTAGAGCGATAAGCCTGACCGCAAAAGTTTATAACAAGTAATGCATGGCGTCAGAAAGCAAGAAAAGAAAGGAATTGATTTTACCTATGACACAATAAACGTTGCAAAAATACTCATATGAATGACAAAGAACAATACGATAAAAAGAAGTTCGTTAAAGATAAAACGAGATGATGAATTCATGGAATGTACAATGTACTGAATATGTGAACGAAATAAAAGACACAGGCAGTGGTGTATACACATTTTTTTTGTGAGTTGTAGCTTTAAATAAATGAAAAAAAAATCCTATACAATACATTCTTTCTGTTATTCTAACATTCAATGCACGTCTCTTTCTCTCTCTCTCTCTCTCTCCAACTCTCTTTTTCTTTTCATTCATCATCATCATCATCAGCCTGGAGAAGAAATAAACAAATGTAACTACATTACGTAGACGAACGTACAATATCTGTTTTCGATTACGTTTGTAAAAGAAATACTCGATATATAAGTAACAACATTGAAATTTACTGTACTAAAGATAGATAAAATATTCATTCAACATTCTATATCTTATTTGAACTAATCTTAAAGATTTATAGTCATTCATATTTTTATGAAAAAAAATAGAGAAAAAAAAACGCGTTCTTGAACAATACAACACCTTGTCGTTCAACTGGCTGATGTTTGTTTATTTTGCTCGCATATGTATAGATATGTATGTGATGCTTTGTCGAAAGGGCACAGTATGTGCGCGAGAGCGAGAAGAAACCATCGCATCATACATCCTATCCCAGTGGCCACAAGTACAAGGCTCTTTTTTTTTCTTTTTCTTTGCGCAATTTTGTCACATTATCGTTGTCGTTTCTCGACCAAATGCATGCACTTTTTTCTTCCACACATACATATATACATTCATACATCAGATGCATACAAGAAGGCTCTTTGAGCAGAACAAAAATCTTTTCTTTTTTTTTCTCTTACACACACACATACACATACTGAAGATGGAGAAAAAATAGCTGCTGGGCGCAAAAGGCGAACAAGGTTGTCAATATTACGTAACAACGACGTGTGGGTGCGTGTATATACGCAAGCGAGCGTTCTGTTTTTATTATTGACATAATATGTTGCGATGCGGGATGTATATACGTTCTCCTATTTTCTTGTTTCTATAGTAAAATACATACGCTGACTTTCTTGCTTTCTACTATACACTATCATCAACTATCTAAATAGAATAGAGAAAAAACTTTCTCTAATGTTAAGAAAAGAAATATATAGGAAACTTCAACTGTGTTGCTAAGTAATCAGTTGATTGTAAAAGACAAAAAAAAAGAGTAATTTTTATTTCATTTTTATCTTTTAAACAAATAATTTTCTTGTTTATAAATGCGTAAAAATAAAGGCTAAGTGGGAACTATTTTTAGTTAATGACAAAGATCAAAATAGATATTAGTATCAATAAATAGAAAAAAACGAACTAATCTAAAGAATTTGTCATTTCTAATTACCCGTACATACAAATAATAGATAATTTTTTTGTCAAATGAATAAATCAAAACAATTATTCATTAATATATAATTTAATGGAAAAAAACAATTATTCATTTTATGCGTAACTGAATAAATAATATCAGTAACGTGTCATGTGTTTTTGTCTTAAATTATAAAGAGAGAGAATGAAAAAAGAAGAAGAAGAAGACAAGGAATACGTTATTTAAAAAAAAATGTCAGTAATGAAAATGTCATGAAAAATCTATTAGTTATTGAGCATGTTTAAGTAACCGTAGAAAGAAAGATTATTATTTTTCTGACAACAGTTGTCAATCACAAAGAAAACTAATTCAAGTGTACAAACTCTTACCTCTTTTTATTACTTATTATCATTACACAACAGGTGAACTATATGCAAGAAAAAAAAAACGAGATCCAAGGTGAACAACAAAATAAAAAGAGAAAAAAAATCTTTTCTATTCTTCACCCTCCTACTTGCCCTTTTTTTGTATGTGTGTGTATGCGTATGTTTTACCAATACATCAATCTTCAATTAGTATTACATCATCTACAATGGCTTCGCAATTGAATTTAATATACATAAAATTAATTTCAAATAAAAAAAAAAAGTAGAAAGAAAAGTCAATGTCATACGAATACTTTCGAGATTCTAATCGAATATTACTACGATTTTTTATCAATATGTTAAGAATGTATGAACAGTAAACAAGTAGAAAAAAAATTCTAACCTATGTTGTTTATGTTCATGTACACGTACATACATGCCTTCATTGAGTCAACCTTCGAACTTGATGTAATGCCTTTTCTTTTTCTTCTATCTTTCTCGCGTCCCGTCCTATTTGCAAGGTCATAGAATATGACAAAGATGATAAACATATTCCAAGATAACTTGTTGATGTTACATAATAATACATGAATGGAATGCAAAACTACTCGTTTCTATTCTTATTCTGATTATATGTCTTCTTTTCTTTTTCCTCGTTTTCATAGAAAAATATTCTCTATTCATCACGCATACACAACAGAACGAAGAATAACTATAATCCTTTTTTCTTCATCAACTATTAAGCGGATATATGTTTTTATCTATAAACAAATTCTAACTTATTTTATTTACTTCCGTTTTTTGTCTTTCATTTATTTATAATTTTAATATACTGTGAATGTAGGTTATTCAATATTTCTTTTTCGAAGAAGAAAAAAACACACATATATGTATATATGTAAATTGATTAAACTTATAATACGCAATGAAATAATAAAGAAGAACACTACATATGTGTACTTTTAAGTCAACAGATTGAATCAATATTATATGAATAGTTGATAGGGACCATATTGCGCAAAACGAACAATGATAAAATAAGCCACTCTATCTCTCATCCAAAACATGTGCGACCTTCATCAATTGCCTTGAATTTCTTTATATAGACAAGAAAAATGAGAGAGAGAGGGAGAACTTCGCTTTCGGTCAAGGTCGCTTCAACTTGTTGAATTTCGGGAATCTCATTGTTCTTCATCGTTTTTACAAGGTTAAACTCTCTTTAGACGTATACATACATACAACATAACGACGATCAATCAACCTTCAATGTAGCAGTAACATCAACATTGTCGACGACAACGAAGCTTTCAAGGTTCGATTATACTATTACTATTATTCATTGTTGACGCTGGTATTTTCTTCTTTTCTTGCTTTTCCACCATAGCGTAATGATGTGTGTTCAAGAACAAATATTGCCTTCTGTATTCTTTTCCGTTTTTCTTCTTCTTCTTCTTTCTTTTTCTCTTTCTTTTCTTTCTCAAAAATACACAAATGTAATCAACAGCGAATAACGACAATGAGTATGTATGACGCAATCGAATGTTCTTTCTCTTCTTATGATTGAATCAATGAACGAATATGCAAAAGAAAAAAAAAAAAAAAAAAGAAAAGAACTTATCGATCGAGTGCGATTCAAGGTTATACTATATATATGCCTATGTACGTAACAACCTTGAACATCTGTTCGAACTGGTCGTTGTCGTTTTCAATAGGATATTACTTCCATTTTAAAAACAGTATATACTTTTTTCTTTTCGCGTTCGTTTTTCTTTTACTTGATACCCTATGTCGATTATAAACGCAATTTTTTTGCTTTTTCTCTCATGCAAGCTGCTGTTCAAACATACATTTACGCATATATACAGATGAAGAAATAACCCTGAACGGACCTTGAACTGTAATGTTGGTGGAAGGGATACGATATATAACGAGAGAATACGAGTAAAGTAAAGAATGAAGAAGAAGGAGAAGAAAAAGAAAAAGAAAAAGGTGCTTTACATATATTCTATTCTCGAATCAATGCAAAAACAGAGAATAAAGAAGCCTGTTGTAAACAAGAAAAGAAATTATAATTTGTGCAAATAAAATAATAATAAAAAACTCTTGCAATCGATTACATCATTGATCATATACATATATATATATAACCAAAAAACGACGGAAAGAAAAAGTTCATATTATGACTTACCTAACATTCAATCATTTTTTTTCAATTTTCCTACTATACAATTGATGAACATAAAAATATCAAAATGATCATAAACGATAGAATCATTTGCAATTTTTTTTATCTTATTATATAAGATTATAAAATAGAAGGAGGAGAAAAAAAATACTCAACAATGATAAATAATTGAGTTCGTATTCAAGGATATTTCCTTAATATATATTTTTGTTAGTTATATATCTTCGCAGATAATTGCTAAGATCATTAGTTTCATTATGAAATCTAACGACAACGAAAGAAATTTTTAAGTATATATAAATATATAATATCTACTCCTTGACATTCTCATTGATAATAAAACAAAAGTTCAGAACGATGTTTTAGAGTTGATATATGAAAATATTTATTAATAGATTTAACCCAAAAATTTCGAAAATTATAATTTATATAAAAAGTAATCATATAATTTGAAAAGATCATTAAGGAAATTGATGTGTTCTTTTTAGATCAATGATTTTTACAAAGATTAATTTTAAAACAATTACTTTTAGTAATTGAAGTGTTCTAAAAAAGAAAGAAAGAAAAGATACGCGTTGAACCATGTATAGTTAAAGTTCAACGTACTTCACATGATATTTACGTTGTAAAATTTCAATCTATTTATATCATATTTATTCTAATTACGTATATTCATTAGCTTTTAAAAATAGAACTTGATATAAATAAAATCTAAAGATTTTCTATTCAAGAAAAATAACTGAATTACTTAAATATTATATATAGTCGTATATATTACTTAAGTAGAATAATATTAATCCTATCAGATTTCAATATGACAAATGATATATTGTGTTTATTTATTCTACATTTATTGAATTACTACTGATGAGAAAGAATCAAAGGATTAATTTTCTAAATTATAATAAGATTTTATTTTGAAATGTTAATATTTATTTATTAGTTCTGTTTTTTTTTCATTCTTGATAAAAAGCTCTATAATCTTCATTAACAATCTTTTCAATTTGATCTGTCATTTCCGATTCATTACAGTAATCTTTTGAACATTGAAACAAGATTTTACGACTAAGTCTTGTTCTATCACTCATTGGCATTTTTACAGCCAATATTTGAACATTAGGTGAAATGTTTTGACTTTCACATGAAGGTGTATCAGATGTATGGACTATTCGACCAGTTGTAGGGCCTAAAAATTGAACTCGTTCACCAGTGCATGTTCCATTACATTCAACAGATTTATTAGACCAATATTGTTTACAAGTTAATGGAGATGATTTTTTAGAAGTAAGAAGATCCATTAATTTGCTTTGCATCTTTGTATAATCATGTTTGATTAATTTTGATTGAATATTAAGTAGAAATTTCTCTTCACATCGATCTTCTAGTGTACATGAATAGAAAACTTTTGTATTAATTTGTGTATTATTAATTCTAGTCAATTCTTGTACATGATCATATTTATCATCAATCGCTCGTTTACGATCATAGAAACGTTCTGATCCAAATGTAACTTGAAATTTTTTTTGATTATAATCAATTTTAACGTCAACTTGACATAGAAAAGTCGATGTAGTTTTATTACATTCATCAGGAATAATAAATGGAGAATCGAATGATTGAGAAAAATGACAGTTATCTAAACAAGTAAGAGGATAACCATTTGCTCCGATGGTTATACTTGATATTAAGCTAAATATTGCAATGAATAGAGCAGTCATTATTTGTTAGGAAAAAGTGAAGCGATTTTACTTTTTAATCGGATATTTATTTTTTTTGATGACGATGATGAGAAATTTCGCAGATATTCGTATTGCGTATAGTTTATTTTGATAACAAAATATTTTTAGACGATTGATAAACTCAAACTAACCTAAAGTCATAATAAAATAATATCAGGATATTATTTTCTTGTAGTCAAAAATAGAAAACATCAATATAAAATTTAATTAGATACAAGACATATGTTCATCATAATAATAATAACTAAATATAGTATTTGATATGCACCGAATCAATACATTTCAGTTGAATCTTGATATCAAATCAAAGATTTTTGATGATCTCACAAAAATATTCTTATATATATAAAATCTAATTTCTAGTCTTTCGTTTTTTATTCTAATATACTGTTGAAAATATAATAAAAGTACGACGGAACGAAAAAAATAAATAATAGAATTTCGTTTTACTAATGCGAAAGACAAAATAGCATACTAATATAAAAGTTAACAACATATGGATGATCGCTGATAATAGAAATAAAATGCGAGAATAACAAATAAGAAAAAGTATGTACTACAAAACCAAACAAAAAAAGAAAACTTGGTCTATTTTATAGCCATAAAGATTCGCATTTATTTTAATTAACATCACCGGTTAACGCAAGTACTAAAACGCTACGGCATGGTGTATAGACATTAAATGAAAATGGTCTTTCATCCCATTTGATATCTTCCGTTAAAAAGACTTGTTTATCACTGGTTCGACCCAAACCATCAAATGATTTTGAATCAGAATTAAGTACTACTTTATATCTAATTAAGAAAAATAATTAAATATAATTATGTAAATAAATAGATAACATACTTTCCACATCGACCACAACCAATACGATAATCAGCAAAACTTTTATTTGTATGAAAATTAAATATAAATAATAAACCATGATCACCACGTTCGAATACAACGACTTTATCACCTTCGTGTCGACGACTTAAGAACTACATGAACGAGAAATTTTTATAATTATTTAATTTAGTAATGTTTTTTTTTCGTACTGTATTTGTAGCTGAAAGCCATTTATATTTTTCTTCACAAGCATTCATAGCTTGATCCCATGCATTAAGATATTTATATCTCAATGTATCATCTTCAGGTAAATAGAAAAGACGACGAGCATAATGATAACTATCATTATTACCAGCTCGAGGAAAATCTAACCATTCTGGATGACCAAATTCATTACCTTCGAAATTAAGCCAACCTTCTCCACCTAATGCATAAGTTAATAAACGGATCATTTTATGTAAAGCTAAACCACGTTCAACACGTGGTGTACGTTCAGCAAGAACTGACATATGTGTATATATATCAGAATCAAATAACCAATGTGCAATTGTTTTATCTCCAACAAGTGCTTGATCGTGACTTTCAGAATATGCAATATTTTTTTCTGACCATCGACGATTAATCAATGTCCAAGTTATATCACCAACATTCCAATCTTCATCTTGTTTTTCTTTTAATAACTTTAGAAAAGATAAAGATAAGAAAACTAATTTATTTTGAAAGTTAAATTCATACTTTAATCCAAACATCAGGAATAGCCATAGCTAAACGATAATCAAAACCAGCACCACCTTCAGCTATTGGACGACATAATGTTGGCATTCCTGATACTTCCTAAAATAAATAAATAAATAATTATTGAAAAAAAAATTATTTTCTTTAATATACTTCTGCAATTGTAATAGATTCAGGATATAATGTTTGTGAAACATAATTAGCTAATTGAAGATAATTAAATGATTCGGTATCAGTAGCTAAACCAAAATATTCATTATATGTGCCAGAAAAAGCATGTCCTAAAAATAAAATGAATAAGATACAAATTAAATATTCATTTTCGAAAAAAATTTACCAATGCCATGTGAATGATAAAGCATGGATGAAACACCATCGAATCGGAATCCATCAAATTTAAATTCTTCTAACCAATATCGAATATTTGAAAGAAGAAATCGCATTACTTCACGTCTAAATAAATTATGATATATTTAGAAAAACTTCTTATTTATTTAATTAAACTTACTGCATATAATTAAAACATCGACTATCCCAAAGATCATGATAACCACGTGGACCATCATGAAAAAAGCAACCATTTGTTCCATCAAACATATTAATACCATCAACTGTATTTTTACAACCATGACTATGCACAAGATCTAATAAAACAGTTAAACCAAGTCTATGTGCTTCATCAATTAATTCTTTTAATTCTTCTGGTGTACCAAAACGACTAAAATTATTTGAAATAAAATTTCTTTCTTTCTCTTGAAAAAACAAACAAACAAACCTTGATGCAGCAAAAAAACTAGTTACTTGATAACCAAAACTAGCATAATAAGCATGTTCCATAACAGCCATCAATTGAATTGTATTATAGCCTTGTCGGACAACTCGTGGAAGAACATTAACACGAAAGTTTTCATATGTAGCTACTTCACCTTTCCATGAACTAATTCCAACATGTGCTTCATAGATTCTTAAACGCTCGGGTTTTTTTGGTTGAGGATGTTTAAATTTATAGATTCGATCTGCTGGTGGATTATAAAAAACACCATGATATGTATTTGATTTTTCAGCTCGTTGAACATAACGTGACCATGGACAAAGACGATCTTCTAATTGACCATCAGGTTTTTCAATAAGTAACTAATTGAAAAGAAAATATTATAAATGAATATGTTAGTTAAATCGTTTTTTACTTTTATTATTTGACCATGTTTAATAGCTGGTGTACCATCAGATAGTGGTGGAAGTGTTAATCTCCATACACCCCATTCATCACGGGTAAATGGATATTGTCGTTCTTGCCAATTGTCTAAAAGAAGAAAAACAAGAATAAGTACGATATAAGAAGATTATGAAATACATACTAAAATCTCCACGAATATACATAGCACGTGCAGCAGGTGCCCATTCTTTAATGTTAATTGCATTGGTTTTAGCATCAACATGAATACCAAAATGTTTATAAGCTGATGTAAATGTATCAAGACCTTTTTCTTCAGTTTCTAACTGTTTAAGAATTGATTTAAATACATTATATCTAGCAAAAAAGGAAAATAAAATATTAATTAATTTTTTTTTGCTTATAATGAAATATTCTCTTACCGTCGTTTTATTTCACCTTGAAATGGTTCAAGATACGGATCAAGTTTAAGCAGATTATCTAATTGAGGAGGTACACACTCTTTGACCCCGTTAGTTGTTGTCATTGTATATTCTAGAATAAAGTAACACGTTACAACAAAACTGTAGCCTATAAATATGTTCTTATAATCTTAGAAGAAAATACGAAATTTGTTTTTGTATTTTAATCTCGTTTATACTATATACTATTCTTACACGCATTCAAAGACTGACGTTTCTGTGTGTAAACACGTTGTTGTCGTCGGTAGTGCCCTAAGAACACGCATTGGCTGTTGATTTACTCGAGAAATAAATAATAGAAGAACAGAAAAAAAATATTTGTTGCATACATTGGTTGTATTTTTAATAGTTAACATAGTGGAAGACGAGAGAGGTCGACTTCGACTGATTTTTTATTTTACGATTTCTTCTTTTTCGACGAATAAACAACAGATGTATTTATACAAGCTTACTATAATTATCAGGTTCATTCAGTAATTATTCCAATATCTAAATTTAATCGTAAAAGATCATAAATAATCGATTAAAATCAGAAATGAATATTTGTCAACCAGTAACTTCAAAAAACGATCAATTGTATTACAAAAAATAAGCTAGAATTTAAATTGAAAAAACGTCCTTCAGAATATGTTTCTTTGTTTAAAACAAAATTGTGAGTCATTGTATATAAACTTGTTTTTTGTTACTCGATAAAAATAGGAGCGTGACTAAAAAATTACGAGTACCCGGGCATTCATCATGACCTTGAAAGAAGTACATAACAACTAGCACAAATGATGATGACTACTAGTTTTTTTCTGCTAGTGACTGGGCGATATCCGTGCTAGTCCACCACTGGTTACGCCACTAGTTAACGATATACTTCCATTCTAAATCTCTATTTAATAATAACATAAAACTCTCATTTTAATTGATTATTCATTCTTCTTTCTTACAAGTTTTAAGTACTCGGAAGTATTACATAAGCACTTTTCATATGAAAAATTGTTCATCATAGTGTGCTTCAATATAGAAAAGCTAAATTGCTTATTCATCTCTGTTAAAAAATGAATAAAAACTCATATTTAAAGATTGCATCATATACATATTCTTCATAATACGGAGTGAAACTTTGTTAAGAAAAACTGATTCTATTTTATTAACTTTAGAACTCGTTAGTAATGAAAATTTTAAAAGCTGAATAAAAAGACAGCCAAATAATGAAGCCATGCTATAAAATAATCATAATCATACTTTAACCTTTAATAAAGCGTAACAATATTGTCAAAGATACCTGACTTTCTTTTTTCTTTTTTCAATCAACATATGTTTACCTATTAAATTATTTTTACGACTAAGTATTTCCAGTGTATGACATGATCCGTCAACATGTTTATATGTTATTTCTGTTGATAATTCAAATAACATTGAAACAAACATATACAATAAAATTTAATATTTTTATTATTCAACATGTCACTGATTTTTGACGAATTCTTTTTATATTGATCAAATCGTTGCTAGCTAATGACTAATAAACTTATATAGAGAATAAAAAACACGAAGCAATATCGAGAAATTTATACATTTCAGTGTTTGATAACAAAACCTTAGTTGCAAAACAAAACAACTATTAACTATTTCTATTGAAATTAAAATTGTGCACTTTTTTTTCTCATTAAAAATAAAGGTTTATTCTACCGAGAAAAACAATTTTTCAAACTCATTTTTTTCTCTCACTTATAACAGATGTGTTATATTTGAGTATTCATTGTTATACATTTTTATTCTTCTTTAGTTTTTTTGACAAACGGTTGCTTGTCAAATGAATAACTCTACGTAGGAGTTTACTCAGAAGTTTATTTTATTCATTGTATTATTGTTAATAAAATCAAATGTGGAGATTTTTCGTGGAATTATTATCATATTTAAGTTTTGTTTGTGTTATCTGTTTAATTGCTTTCCTGAATCGTAGTCCTACGGAATATTTTCAAGCACAATATTTACGTCAGTTATTTTTGAATCCTAACAGTGCTACTCTTAATTTTGAACAGGTAAAATATATTATACGATTTCTTTTCATATTTTAATCCTATCATTACAGATTACAACAATCACTCAATATTGGAATTGGTTAGAAGAAAGTTTTGTAAATAATATTGTTTCTGAAACATGGTATAATGGACAACCTGATAATACTTCGCAAGGATATATTATTGATAAAACAAATCGATTAGTTGGATGGGCAACAATGAGGCAGTTACGTATTAAAGCAGGTTAGTTTTATATCTACCTCTAAATACAAATGTTTAGATTTACGAAACTAAATTTTGTCTCATCAGACATTCGTTAATGTATAGGCATAAAAAAATATGGCTTACACCAGGACTTAGGGAGTTAATACATATTATCTATTTTTCGGTAAATATTTAAAACAGTTTTAACTAGAAATGTAAAAGACGTATGTTTTATAATAGTTAATTTTGTCTCTATTAAATGACACGGACAATAGTTTCTCTCACGTTACTTGATTTTGTTATAACCACTCATCTTAATCATATTTTACCAGTCTGAATAGATGATTTTAAAGTGGATTGTTTTCGATATTTAAACCAGAGTTCGGTGGAACTGTCCCGAATCCGATCCCTACACCGTCAGTAGCGGGATCCAAATCCCGAGTAAATACATTTTGAGTCTTAAGTCTGGATAAACTGAATTTACAGAAAATGGTAACGGCATCGAGAATCCCCAAAAGGTATTTTGCCGGGACCAGGATTAGGACGGGTTTCTATTGAGTCAGGGGCGACCGGGATCGGGATGAAAAACCCGATCCCGTCGGACCCTGATTTAAACATATTATATTTCATGATAAATAGAATCTTATTTGTTGTATTTTCACTCTTTATTTTAGATACATGTAAAGTAAAATCAACCATTAAAAGTTTAATACCGATGTGTTATGATGATTATAGTGCATCAACTGAAGACAAACGGTCGTTTCTACCTGGATGGATTACTAATACAACAATAGGAAACTATAGTTCACCCATTGGAAATTATAGTTCAACAGTTAATCAAGCATATATTTATAAAACTAGTGAAGAACTTGATACATATGTTTATGTTGGTGAACTCGCTACATATAGAAGTGGTGGTTATGTCTATGAATTCCGTGGTTCATTATCTGAACTTCGTAATGATCTTTTTCAACTTCATGAATTAGGATGGATTGATGTACAAACAAGAGCTATACTTATTCAATTGAATTTATATAATCCAGTTGAACCACTGTTAACATCAGTAACTATAGTTTTTGAATTATTATCAAGTAGCGGTGGTATTCCTAGTGCTCAATTCCAACCATTAAATTTATACAGTAAATATCTTTATTTTTATTTTATACAAAAGATAATATTCTGAATTTTTTTTATTTAGTTTTTAAGACAGTCTTTCAAATAGTATGTATATGTATTTATTTCATATTTATAATTTATTTAATGATCTCACACATTATGACACTTATTCGTAATAAAAAATTATATTTCCGTCAAGTTTGGTCATATATAGAATTAGGAATTATTGTTTGTTCATGGTCAGAAGTTGGTATACAGATTTGGCGTATGAATGAAGCAGCACGTATAGCAAGTTTATTTCATGAAACACATGGTAATACTTATATAAATTTTCAATTATTAGCTTATGTCAATGATTTATATTTATTTTTTCTTGGTTTTTGTTGTTTTTTTGGTACATTAAGACTTTTACGCTTATGTCGTTATAATCAACGAATAAATCTTTTATCATTGACATTAAAACGTGCAGCACGAGAATTATTATCATTTTCAATGATGTTTGCAATTATATTTATAGCATTTCTTATGTTATATTATTTTCAATTTTGTTCAGCAATTTGGGAATGTTCAAGTTTATTACATACAGCACAAATGTTATTTGAATTACTTTTATTAAAATTTGATGCAACACAAATTAAAGAAGCAGCACCGGTTTTAGGACCACTATATTTTACATTCTTTATTATATTCGTTGTTTTCATTTGTATTAATATGTTTGTATCAATAGTCAATGATAATTTTCGACGTATTCAAATTGATCTTATGAATGTTCATTCTGATTATCATGGTCTATTACATAGTTTACGCCGAAAAGTTGAAAAAGTCTTTGGTAAGTTATTTTATAAAAAGCAATTTTCTTAATAATTAGATTTATTTTCCTAGGCATTAAAGCAACAAATGTTGTATCAATTGATGAAACACAAAATCCAAAAAAAAAGATAGAAATGACTGACTCATTTAAACGTCTATCAAATAGACTTGATAAACTTAATCATTTTGTTATTAAAGTATATTACAGATAAATTTAAATAAATTCTCATTTTATATTTTATTTAGAACTATTCACAAAAGAAAAATGTTCGAATGGTATGGAATGAAAAATCGATTAAAACTTAATTCTGCTTTTTGTAATATATTTAAAATGTAATCATATTCTATGATGCGTAAATTTTTGTTTTTAATGAATAAATATATATATATTGAAGTGAATCTTATTCTAAGTAGAAATTTTTGTAACGGATCGTAATTCCAATGTCAAAAAGATGGTTTTGCTTTTTTTAAATAAAATTTCGTTACTTGGAAACCAGTTAATTATTCGATCAATTTATTTGAAGAAAAAAAAACAAAGAACAAATAGAGATTCTTAAAATGAAATAAATATTTTTTGTTTTGGAAAAAAAGTCACAACAGAGAAAAATTTAATTTTTTTAATAATAATTTATTCTATGCTTAAAGCACCAAAAAGATGCGTTTTTTAAAGAAAATATACGCAATAATAATCCAAAAGATGCATCCCCATAAATTCATAGCAAGATGTGCTGCATGTGTATTGACAACAACCCATTGTACAGGAAAATAAGTTGCAAAAACAAGATGTGTTATATAGATAAGTATAGAATTTGTTCCTGGATATTGAAATGGTGTTGCATTCCACCATTTCAACATATCAATAAAAATATACATTAGGGAAAATCCAGCAAATGCTAAACCAGCTAAATAAATACCAAAAATATTATAGAATAATACTTCAATGAAAATATTCTTACCAGTAAAAAATGTAAAGGATAATGTCCAAAGATTTTTATTTAAAGGCATTGGTCCACCAGTAAGTGTACCAGCAGTTAAACCAACACCTATAGCTATACTTATTATACTCCATATAAAAAGACGAACAAGACGATCAACATCTGTTTGATACATAACTAAAAAATATAAATAAAAATAAATTAATACTAATTCAGAAAAATAAATCAAACCAAGAATTCGTCCAGCTTGAACACCTAAATAAGCTAAGAATATTGTTGGAATAGCACCAAATAAATTCTCTGGATCAAATGGTGGTTTACAACCTAAATAAATTTTTCTAGCTTATTCAAAAAACAAATTTATCTTTGTAATTTACCATAAACTAGTTGACATGTTGGATATGGATACAGATGTTTATTCGTAAAAATAATTCGATCAATATAACCAGTTATACCACCCGTACAATTTTCATATTTACCATTCTCATGTAATCCGCCTAAGACAAAAAATATTATCTTTATATTTAATATTGTGATTTACTTACCGGGACCTAGATATCCAGCTGGGCAATTTTCAAATGGTACTAAATAAATAATTAATAACCAAATTGTAACTAGAGTTATATTAAATAACCATTGAAAAGGAAAATTTATTATATCACGAAATAATAGGATTAAACGTTGAGCTGTGCCAGTTTTAATGGTTGCTGTTGTTGTTGCTGATGTTTGTGTATTAGGTATTAATAGATATTGATTAGGTCGTGTAAAAAGTACTTCAATCGTTGCAATAACACCATAAACAATAGCAAAACGTTGTAAAACACCAAGAATACGTACTTCTTTAAAATCAACTTTAAAACGTGTATTAAGAATAAAACCAATTAACTAAATCGAAAAGAAATAGAATTTTTGTTCTTTTGAAAATAGAAACTTACAAATAATTTAATTGTACGTATAGCAATTTTTTTTATTAATGTTTGTTTTGAAACACCTTTATCAATAGCATTTTTTAATGAAAATACTAATGATGTTCCTAACATCCAAATGAAAAATGGAAAGACAATATCAGCAAATGTGATGCCATGCCATGGTGCATGTTCAAATTCAGCATAACCACCACCACCATAATTAATAAATATCATAGCTATTAAAGCTACAAGAAACGAGAAAAAAATTATTTCAAATATTATTTTAAATTTTTGTTTTTACCAAAACCACGAAATGCATCAAGACTTAATAGACGTTTTGATCTCGGTACAATAACATTTGATATTTTATGTATTGGTGGTAATTGTGTTACTGGTGTTGTTCCATCCGTTGTAATCGTTGCGTCATGTACTACTGTCGGTGGACATGCTTGTAAATCATATGATTGTGAAGATTCTTGTGGTGGTACACGTTTGAGACATTTATTTTTAAGATTTAATAAATGTTCACGAACTTTCATTCGTTGTCCAAGTATACAAGCAACAAATAATACTAATAATATCACACCGGCAATAATCAATGGTGTATTAACATTATTAGCTGAACGTTGAGTAGTTAGTATACATTTTAAAGTTGAATTTGAACTTGAATTTGTTTGAGTAGATGGGGCGGGTTGAACATTTAGAATATAATGACCATGTTCATAGAGTTTTAGACTTTCAAGACATGGAGATAGATTATTTGATTCTATACGAATACGATAATTAAATTTTGTATTTAATGTTAAATTAAGTAATTTAGTTGATGATAAATCTTCTGTAATTATTTCATAAGGACAATCAATACATTCAATAACTTGAATATATACAGTTAAGTTGCCATTGATCTAGATTATTTAGATAATAATTAGTATTTCTATTGTTATTAACTAAAATTGACATTATTAAAAATTCTGATGGATTAGACATATCCTCCCTCAAGTTATTTGAACTTTCCCTTTCTTCTAATGTTTTTTTTCTTCAAGAGCATATACACTTGACAAGCAAAAACTTTTTGATGTGCATGTATTTCGAGTAATCTATTGAATTTGACTACAATATAATTCAATAAATCTCATGTGTTAAAGGTTAAGAAGAAAGACCTTTTTTTCTATATATGTCTGTCTAGGCCCTGCAAGCTGAATATTGTAGAAGATTAAAATAAAATTTCTGCTTAAATTAAAATTATTCTCATGCTTAAAGATACAATTCTTACTTGTTTATCAACAATAATATTCATTGAAGCTTGATCGATATCTAATGGGTCGGTATTATCAACATCGATTGCACCTGAAGAAGCTCTTGTTATAAGTCGATCTTCTCCATTATTAAAAATTAAATGTCTGGAATTATTTGTATTAGTATCATTTATTAATGAGAATGATCGAACATTAATCCAATAAGTAGTCTGATGTTGTTCTTTTATTTGATTATTAATTGGACATTGATATTGTAATAGTTGACGATTATAATGTGTTGAATCCATTGATGTACCACCAATATGAACACAAAATGATATTTGAAAAAAATAACATTGTATAAGAGAAATAAAAAAGAATTTTGTTAACATTTCTAAATAATAGTACAAAGAAAAAAAATATTCTTAGTTTTATTCTAAATATATGATATCTACCTATTTATTTATTATAAATGAATACAAGGGCATTTGAAAATCTTTCTACTTGTAAAGACTTGATCTGCTATCTTCATTGTCGATATAAATATGCACTTATGTCTAGTAGTTGGCCATCGTCGTCAATGTTTCGCTTTTTTTTATTCTGTTGTTCTCATTAGATAACGGAGAATTCGTTCGTTTAAGACGAACAGAATAAAGCTCTAAATAAATATCTTACTTTATTGTCGTTCGATAAGTACTAATAAATAGTCAACTAACATAGACCAAAGTTAAATTTCGTACATGAATAAAGATATTATAGAATATATATATATATATATGAGTTTATTTTACCGTTTATTTTAAATATATTTAATTAGAAATATTTATTGCTGTACTTGTATATTGAAATATTATAAAAGATATGATCTGACATGTTTTACAATCAAACATAGACTTATGTTGACAAGTGATTTGATCGTTTCTAATTAGGAGAGATAGTGAATTAACTAAATGTCTTTGTCAAGCTAGATAAATATTAAACATATTATTGTTTGTCTGATCATTGCGATTCTTTTTCTTAGATGAATTGTATCAAATATACAATCATTTGTTAAATATTCGTTATTATATAAAAACGAAGATAATCAAGAACATAGGAAAATCTTGAATCTCTCGAAAGTATAAGTTTTCGTTTTGATTCAGTTTTATATTTTCAAAACAAATCATTTGTTAGATTATCAAGAATAATCTATTGCATTGTTATGTCAGTTTTCAATATGATTTCATTTTACAACTCATTGTAAAGCTGTCCGTTGATAAAAAAAATCAATCTTAAGCTTCGAAAAAATAAGTGATTAACATCGAGCTGAAAAATATATTCTTAATCTTTATCAATCATTATTTATCTTGAAAATTTTTCTGTCTTCTGATAGTTTAATTAATGAAATTTGAGTATTCATTATGTTTATTTGAAGTCAAACAATCATTTTTACAACGTTTATTTCAGATAGAAAGAAAAAAAAACTAAGATACAAAATATAAAATTACTATAATTTATATAGGCCTATAAACGTTTTTTTTGTTCGTATTCGTTTTGAAAATAGATGCAGTCAGATTATTTCTTTTTCTATCAACAAACATTTCGAGACAGGAATTAGACATAAAAAGGTATAAATCTTTCTCAATAAATATATTGAAAGAAAGGAGGCGAGAACATAGTACTTATTTAACATATGTACAGTCTATAAACTACTTAAGCTGATCAACTAAATCAATAAATATTATATCTCAGAGGCTATTAATACTCACTTTCAAGGTATTATTTACTCAAATAAAAAGATAAAATATCCTTCATGATTGACAATAAAAATTCCTTTAACATTCTTTCTTTGTGTTGCAATAATGAACATACGTTTATCACAATAATGTAAATATTCAAGGATAAATGAATTCTGTCATTTCATATAGAATAACAATTGATATCCATGTTATTTATCATTTTACGAGATTAAATATTATATTTAAAAATTAAAAAAAATATTTTGTAACAAAACTTTAATAAAAAAAAACTCGAAAGTATTTTGGTTCGCATCTTTCATGTCTTTTTTTTCAAATTTAATATAAAATAGCTGTATCATCTCTTAATTGTGCTAATTGAGCTTTACGTGCTAATGTTGTATTAGAATATTTATTTGTTGATATATAAATAGGTTCAAGTGAATTATTATTACTTGAACTTGTTCCTGTTATTGTTGATGGTGGTGATATCGAACGATAATAATCGAATGGTAATAAATCACTTGTTTGTCGACAACTTTGAGAATGTTTTAAACGATGTTTTGTACGTTCTTCTTGTTTTAAACGTAATACATGATCAAGTTCATTTACGAAATGTATATTTGGAGACATATTTTGTTGAGGTGCAAGTGCTGAATTAGATATGGAGGTTAATACAGTTGATGATGAGGCATAAACAGGTTCATTTGATGCATTTTTATAATAACTAGAATATAAAATTTCAGACTATTTTAAATAATTTTATTTATTTTACCAGTTTTTTGTTGGAAATGTTTCTTCATAATGCCATGAATTAGCTGTTAATGTTGATTCATTATTAAGTAATTTTTCTAAATTTTTAACATTTTGATTAATTAAATGTGGTGGATCAAATGATAATGTTATGACTGATTCATTTGTATTTAATCTTCGTTTACGATTTTTTTTAATATTATGATTTGCCGTCGTAATTAATTTTGTTGATGGATGTTTCTGTGATCGTTGATATTGTTGTCGATGATATGTTGATATAGGCGATGGATTATTTTCTTCATTTGAATTCATATGTTTAGATTTTGAACGATAATAACGAATAATTAATCGAAGTAAAAAACAAATTATAATTACAATAAATATAAAACTAACAATACCACATATTATTGTTATAATTATTTTATCACGTTCATCAAAAGACATTGTCTTTTACGAAAGAAATAAAAAACTATCTAAAAATAAATGAATAAAAATTGAACTATTATTACTCTTATTAAGAGGGTCTTTTTATTTTAATGATCGATGCATTTCTATCCTGCTGTGCACGCTTTCACTGAAGTTAATCGACAATAAGTTGGACATACATATGCTGGCATATTGTCACCTCATGCTGAATGAATGAACACAATCTCGTTTTTTTTTATTCCTGAACTATCGTACACATATACAAGTTTTTTTTTAATGTCTTTTCTTCTTCACTCGCTCTCTGAACAACAGTACAAAATATTATAAGAAGAGAAAGAGAAGAACAAACGAGAAAATGATTTGAACTCAACTTATGTGCGACAGCACTTCGTCGCGACATTTTCTCTGTCTCTCTCTCTCATACGCTCTCTCCTTCGTTTTACCTTTCTCTTATGTATAGATTTGCAACTACAGACACACTCCAATGTATGTATGCGTGCGTGTGTGTATGTGTGTATTGTTTGTTGAATAAACTTGCGTGATGGTGATCTGTATAAAGAGAAAAAAAACCGAAAGCATTATAAGACATACTAATATAGTAACGCCGTTAAAAAGAGAGAATATTAAATGACTCCTTTTTTTTGATTATATTAAAACGAGCAAGTAGATTACTGACCATTCACACGTTTATTTCAACGTACAGAATAAATTTGATTATTTCCATCTGTTTCTTCTATGATAATATCCAGACATAATTTATATTCTTGTAAAAACTTCAATCAAAAATTACATTATTTCTCTTTATATTTGTCAAATTTTTTCGTTTAACAAAAATAAAAAATAAATTAGTTTTATATTCTTTCGATCAAAAGTAAATAATAAACAGAAACTGATGATATAAATATTACTAACATTTAAAATAATGCATTGAAGGTTAATTATTACATAGACTAAATAAAGATGAAGGAGACGAAAAATTTTCATTCCGATATTTTTTTTATTAAATGAAAACATAAATGTGTTATGACAATTTAAAATTGGATGAAAATGTTAAGAAGGACAAGTCAATTTGATTATTGTTCAGACATCATAATAACTATTTCAAGAATATATTCCGTCCTATATATAGAAAAATATTTCTACTTTAATCAATCAACTGATTTTTCACATAGTTTATTGCACCAAGGAATTTCGTTTTTTTTCTTCTTCTCTCGTCTTGTTATTAATCGTTCAACAAGTATGCTATTGAATATCCTTGAATATAATAAGAATTGCTATGTATGATTGCGTATAAATAGTACTCGTAATCGGTATATAATTTTGATCACAGTAGGATTTTAAACAGACTATGATGATCAATATCTAGAGTAATATCGTCTAGTTTTAAAAGATTTTATTAGATCATGCTCTATATTCTTTCAGTAAGAATAAAATAAATATTTTTAACGACCATCGTATATTCAATGAGTTCATAATATCTGGTTGTACAATACATTCTTTGACAACATTAGTTTTGTAAATTTAATGATGATTTCGGTATGTCATAATAAATTTTCTCTGTATATGGAATCTATTTCATATATATGTTTTTGTTCCAATAAATAATAACATAAAAGATTGAGACTACTTTTAATAAAATAATAGTTTTTACTTTTTTATTTGTTCAGTCTTCTATCATTCAAGTATGTTTGATTCATTTACTTTTTTATATTCGATATTTCATAAAAAGAAAACAATTTTCATAACCTTCATTTTTTTTCATATATATGATAAATCAAAAATTCGTTTTATTTATATGCAAATAGAAAAAAGAAGCAGAAAATAACTCTATATATATTTAATTAATGTTCTTCTTTTTTTTTTGTTGATTCATTTCGATTTTTAATTTACTTTTTATCATTATACATTTTCTTAGCACCTTTAGCCAAAAGTAAACCACCAAGTATACCCAATAATGCAGCAGCTGCAGGTTTAATATACTTTTCCAAATCAAATCCTACATCTTCTTCTTTTTGCATTTTTTGTATACGATCTTGAATTTGCTGAGCATATCCCGGTGGACGTTCAGGTGTTGTTGTACCATATTGTCGTTCAATAATATCACGGACAATATAATTTCCCGGTAGACTATCAATTGAATTATTTATTAGATTTGATCGTAGACGACATGTTGGACCTTTTGTTATTTTTTTGATAGAAAAAAAATAATTCAAATTAAATTAATAATTCAAAAACAAAATTCAACTAACAATCCATAAAATTTGATGGTCCATGAGAACGTTCTATTGATGCTAGATGTACTTTTAAACAATTTGCACAAAATGTATGTTGACAATCAAGAACTTTTGGATCTTGTAATATATCTAAACATATAGGACATTGAAGAAGATCATCAATATTTGATGTTGCAGTTGCCATAAGAAATTTTCTTATTGATACTAGAAAAAAAACAATAAATGAAAGTTTTTTTATCAAGTGTTTATGTTTTAGTTTACAATAATCATACGACAAATATTATTTAACGTTTATAAAAACAATTAAAATAAAAGTCAGTAAATTTTTTTCTATAGATATAGTCTCGAGTACAAAAAAATGCTTAAAGAATACTTACCTTCTTAAGCATTATGAATGAAAAACTCTTATGAAATAAGTTGATCATTTCTAATATAATGATTATCTTCTGTCTTTTGTAAATAATCTCCTTCTCAATGAAATCAACATAGAGATTATCATTTATATTTTATATCACTATAAGTTTGACTTAAAAACATAACAATCAAACTTCAAGTTTATTTAAATCTCTTAAATTCTGAATAAACCTTCGGGCTAAACAGTTGAATATAATGAATATTTAACTTACCCACAAACTACTTGATTGTTTATTATTTTGAAAAAAAATATAATCTAAAACAAAAATACAAATACAATTGTTTTAATTTAATCTGACATTTAAATAATATATATATTTATATATATGTATATACAAAACAAAGCTAAAATTTAAAATACAGAAAAAAAGCAGATTATTCTTCATGAGATGTCGATTGTTTTTGATTATTACTACTACTACCAAAAATTCCTTCATTAATTTTTCTTAATTCATCGCGAGCATTTTTAAAAAATGTTGTTAATTCTTGTCCACCTGATGATGATCTATCTTGTGCAAATCGTCGTACACTATCAAATGAATTTGTTGATTGTTCATTATTAGTATTACTTATTTGAGCTAAACTATAAGTTTCACGCATGGATGATGTTAATTGAGTATAATCAATGGTTTTAGATTTAACAAGTGTTGATGGATTATTAATAGGTTTCTATATAAAAATAAAATTTGAATAAAATAAAATAATGAATAATCATATATACCATTGATGGAACTATATCATCATCTTCTTCATCATCAAGGGAATCATGTCGATTACTAGACATTTGAATAACTGCAAATAGAAATATTGTTTTATTCGGATTTATATGATTATCGAATTTTCTATTACCTGATGAATAAGCTTCAGGATACTTTTTATTTAATCGCATTTTAAGTAATCTAAAATATATTTTATATTTATGTTCAAAATAAATATAACTGTTTTATCATACTTAATTCGTTTAAAAATTGTATCAAGATCTGTTTTTATTGTAGTTAAAAGTTGTGTATGATTTGTAAATTCTCTTGTAGCATCTATATAGCGTTTAGCTGATATTTTATTAATTCCATCTAAGATTTCATTTGATTTGTCTAATTGTTCAAGTCTAATAGAAAATATTTTATAGATGAAAAAATAAAAGATTTTTGATTACATACAATGAACTTTGAATATTAAGTAAACCATCAACATCTTGTTTATTTGTTTCATTTAAAAATAAATGAACAATTGATGATGCTGTTGTTGTGTCGGATACTGAAATTGTTGATTCAGTATTTTCTTCCATTACCAATAAAAATAATCTCAAATTCAATGACGTAGAAAATAGTCACGGTATGTACTAATGACGCGTTTCTTTTTTTTCACGGTTAAATTGTCCAATTATGAATCATAGACGTAAATAATACGACAATGATTCATTTATATTTTTGATGTAAATTTGACAATTTCAAGTATGTCTTGTTTTCTAACTACGACAAAATACGTTGCACCATTCAAATAGCTTGCTGCTTTTTTCTTATTTGACAAAGTCAGAATAGCTTATTATTAATAAAATTAGCTAGTTAATAAATTTAATAATTAAATCTTTTTTTTTATATAAATAAAACTAATACGATAATTTCTCGGTTATCAATAGAATATTTTCGAAATATAAAATCAATGTAACGAAAAACATCAGCTGATTAATAAAGTTTATTGTGTACTAACGACATCTGTTGATAATAAATCAATGTAAGCATTGATTAACATCAATTTTTGGAATAATTGATAATTGAGAAAAGATACAGAAGCCCAATTCTTCATTGCCTGGTTTTTCTTCTATAGTTTGTTTATCTGATTGATATACAAATTTTCAGTTAAGGAGTCATTTTTGTTAAACTTAATAGCCTAATGACAATATTGACTCATATTTCTAACAAAATCATTGAGTTATAATCGATAAAATTTCATATAAGACCCAGCTGGTGCAATGGGTTTACTTATTTTTGTAGCTTTATAACGATGGGCAACATTTTGATTATATGACATCATTGATTCTTTTTGTTAGGTTTTAAATAGAACTCAATATCAAAAATGCAAAACAAATACATAATACTGAATAAACAACAAATATATGCATAATTATTTTTGTAATTTGGTAGTCGATAGAAAAATGATTTTAAAAAAGTACATATTAACATTTTACTTCAAAAAATCTGAATATTAATTACATTACTTTTTTGAGTAGTTCTTATCAAAATCAGAAGAATCTTATTCTTATAATTTTATTTGACTTTTACTTATCCGAAATACAGAGGATAAAAAAAAGTTCAATTAACAATAATTCATTCATGTTCATGTCATATATTCTTAAAATAGAATATAAGACAGATCGTTTGTATGTAGAGGATAGAAAAAGGAATATAAGATCGATTATAAAATTGATCATGTTGAACAGCAATGTATCGTAGGGTTTTGTAAATTTTGATACACTTGGTGTTCAGAATCTTACGAAATCCTCGTTTTACCATTTCATAGATGTATTACATATACTTAAATAACTATAAAAGTGAATCATACTAAAGTACTTTTAAGATATTTACAAGTTAAATGAATATTATAGGAAAAATTTTCTTTGCAATAAAAATGATCTGACATTTGGCTCCATCTACCCAATATCTTTCATTTTTTTATCTTATTCGAAACCAGATTGGTTGATAGTTACTAGCTTCTTCTGATACCTCTCATTTTCATACGATACAACTATTTCAAGATCACAACACTAAATAAAATAAGAACAAATACACTATGAAAGAAAGAAAAAAATTGATCTTTCACCTTGAAAACTAAAAGTTATTTATGTGATTTTATTTTTTCTTTTCTTTAGATGCTATTGTCAATGTTTCATTGCTAAGCTCTCTCACTTTTCTTTCTTAGTTTTATTCAATGCCACAGAAAATAGTCAAAAACGAAAATATCTCAATAATTGGCAATAACGATATGTTTCTTAAACGAGCACTTGAAAAAATCTTAAATGAAAAAGATATTAAAAAATCTCAATATCAACAATTAAAACGAGCATGTGAAACAGCATTAACTTCCGTTACAAAAGATATTCAAACATCTCAGTAAGATTAGAAAAATTTACTTATTGATTATTTTCATTTTAAAATTTAGTGCTAATGAATCTTCAATTTTACCATCAACAAATCAACAGACAATAAATGCTGAAAAATATTTTCTTCCATTTGAATTAGCTTGTGCATCAAACCATCCACGAATAGTTGACACATCACTTGATTGTCTTCAAGTAAATATATTTTTCTTTTTTTTAGAAATTCTTTTATATTTTTTTTATTTCTTAGAAACTTCTTCTACATGGACATCTACTTGGTAGTGTTGCTGATCCAATTGATCCATCGAAATTATTAATTGATCGTATTGTTTCGACAATATGCATGTGTTTTCGTGGTGTACAAACTGAAGAACAAGTTGAATTACAAATAATAAAAGTTGTTTTTTTGGAATATTTTCTGATTTGAAAATAATAAATGAATTGTATTTTCAGGCACTTTTAACTATTATGACATCTCAAACAATTGAAATACATCAACGAAGTGTTTTACAAATAATAAAAACATGTTTTAATATCTATTTAACAAGTCGTTCAAAAATTAATGAAGCTACAGCACAAGGATGTTTATCACAGATGTTAAATGGAATATTTTCTAAAATGGAACAAAAAATGGTTAATATTAAATATGTATATATATATGTTAAACTAAATTATTTATTTTTAGGTATTATTAAATGAACGTCGAAAACAATATCAAGAAGAATCAATAACGAAAACATCAAATAATGATCAAGAAAATGTTTTAATAGGTAAATAAAACCTATTTATTTCTATATTAAATTCTTTTTCATAAAATTAATTTAGTTACAAAAGAAATTCTTGATGAATTAGTCGAAAAAATATGTTATGGTATGAATAGATATTTATATAATTTCTACGACAAAAACATATTTTTATTTAGATGAAGCAACACAAGTAAAACAAAATACAACTTTATCTACTAATGAAATTATTGAAGATACAAGATCAACACAAGATGAATTTAGTAATGGATTATCAAGAAATGTTTTAGGTATTTTTTTTTAATTGATTGACAGTATGAGAGATAACCTTTGAACAGAATTTTAATTGCAAAAATATTTCAAATTCAATCAATATGTTCATTATCATATAGAAAAGCTTAAAATACGAAGAAAAAGATTTTTTCGAATTTTCCTATAATTTATTTCAAAACTTGAGTATGACGTTAACAGCTTATGTTTGACATTCATTTATTTCGTGACTAAAGCGATAATTTGACTAGAAGATCTTTAATCGTCTTAACTTACTTTATAAAATCATTAGTCTGCATAGAATTTATGAGATTTGAAAAATAGAAATTCTTGATCTTTATTTGTTGTATTATTTAGATTCTCAAGCAATTGATGATCAAACGTCTGCTAAAACTATCATATCAAATTCTATATCAGCTGATGAATTATCGGCGGATAATTATTTTAAAAATGCCTATTATGTCTTTCGTGCTTTATGTAAATTATCTGATCGAGATATTAAAGATAAAGCAAATACAGATCCAAAGTATAGAAATAAATAATTTGAAATTTTTAATATTTCTTATTTGATTTTGGAATTTAGAACTAATTTAGATTTAAAATCACGAATATTTTCATTACGTTTAATAATGCAAATTCTTCAAACATCAGGTCCAATATTTCGTTCATCAGAAGATTTTCTTTATGTTATTAAAACATATTTATGTGTATCATTATCACGAAATGGTGTTTCATCAATTCCTGAATTATTTGAAATGGCTTTATTTAATTTTGTTGAATTAATTGATAAATTTAAAGCACATTTAAAAATACAAATAGAAGTATGTTCAAATTATTTCTAATAGTTATTTATTGAATTTTATAGACATGAATTATATAAGATTTCTAAAAGAATTAATGAGTATACTGTAAATTTAATAGAAATCTCGATAAAATAACTGACAAGTAAACCACCGGAGATGTCAAAAAGCTTTTGCGATCAAATTTCGTTCATAAATAAGGAGTATATAGAGTAGGACAAGCCTCAAAGGATATAGACAGAAGTTGAGATTTGACTGAAATATCGACTTTTTATAAGTGGGACTTCATAGTGCCCATAAAATCAAAGTTTTGACGTGTAACTTTGCCGGTATCCAGGTATTAATCAGAGCGGTTCATCCATCAAGTTTTAGAATTTTTAAATTGAGCACTCTCGAGATATAATGTTCATGATAACAAACTCATATATCGAAAATGCTCTATCTAAAAATTGTGAAACTTTATGGATGAGCTATTCTGGTTGGGACCTTGATATGGGCAATGTTTCATGTCAAAATTCGAAACTTGAGTTCTGTGGAGACTGTGAACTCCCATAGGAAAATTCATTGTAAAAAGTCAACATCTCAGTCTAATCTAAACTTGCGTCTATATCCTCTTAGGATTCTTCTAGTCTATATAATATTCCCTAATTATGGACGAAATTTAGCTTTTGTTTAAATTCTCTTTCGATGAATAAATTGTTTAATTGATTTTTTAGGTATTATTTCGTGAAATATTTTTAACTATACTCGAAACATCAACTAGTTCATTTCGTCATAAATGGCTTGTTATTCAAACATTAGCAAAAATATCTGCAGGTTATATTGATTTTTATTTATCAACAAAAAAAATGAGTGTTTTTTTTTCAATATAGATGCTCAGATTATTGTTGATTTATTTATTAATTATGATTGTTCAATGCGCTCGGCAAACATATTCGAACGTCTTGTTATTGTTCTTTCACGTGCAGCACAAGGACGACAAGCAGTTGAACTTGGTAAGTTTATTGAATTTGATTTCAGACGATTGAAAGTTTTCTTTTTTCTCATATAGGTTGTAGTCCAACAGAAGAACATAATTTGAGAATGAAAGGTCTTGAATGTCTTGTATCAATATTAAAATGTATGGTTGAATGGAGTAAGGATCTTTATGTTAATCCACATCTACAAAGCAATTTAGGTTTGTTATTATTTATTTTTTTCTATCTTAACTATTAGCAAAATTAATTTAGGACCTGATTCTAAACCTTTACATGAAAATGGTTATGATCAAGATAGTGGTCGATCATCATCAGGTTATCTTGGTAATGGTCTTCGTCGTAGTGATTCGATTGGTTCAATAAATTCCTCTCATTCTAATAGTGGTATATCATCTGAATCA